ATTTCTGATACTGACGTTAAAATCTGTTCTTCAACTACTGATCTATAAAGGTAATCAATGTTCGTCAAATCTATGTGCCAAATTTTAAGGTAATGAATGGTTTTTTTGAGATTATTTAGAAGAAGGTCTTGAGCAAGACTGATGTTGCAGAACAATTATACACTTCTAAATATACATTAGTTAGCTAATATTAAGTATGCTATTTCCCAACTTCCAGTCTCCTAATCCATTATTAGTAATTAAAATTTAGAAATGATACTTAGATCATGCTTTTATTTTTGTAAACTAATTTATTTTTTGTCGGTGTACAATAGACATTTAATAACAAAAACACATTTCAAGAAGAAGAAAAAAAAAACAATCAAATATTTACCAAGAGGTACTTTTAACCGGTAGATGTCATTTCATTTGATATATTTTATGTGGAAATTCTTCGGTTAGAGTTTTTACATGCATAAATCATAAGCCTGCTGACTTTCTTAGAATTGAAAACTAGAGTGTTTCATCGAAGATAGGTTTTTGATTTATTTTATTCACAGGAAGTGACGAGAATAAGAATAAATTCCAACCAAGGATGAAGATTTTCTATTCGTCAAGCATTGCAGAATCTCAAAGAGAGTTGTGTTCATGATTTGATATGTTCCCTTTGTGTTTATTGTTTTTCTTTTCTTTGTTGGGGTGTCATTGTAATAAATGTAAAAGGCGCAATTTTACATAATTGAATTTGATGCTACTGATCAGAAGCAATTCTGAAAATAATGTTGTTTTTGTGTTTTACTTGTTTTTGCAATGGCTTGTAACTTGTAAGTGATAAAAAGAAGCAGGGGACTTGAGAAGAGTCAACTTTAATACTAGTAAATGCACTAGTAAATGCAGCGCATCTTAAATATCAATCTCTAAATTCTTTCATTAATTAAGATATCAAAAAAAAAAAAAAAAACATAATAAAACTTTGGAGAGTTGTGATTTTCAGTAAATTTGAAGTTTAACAACTATGGAAACTAGGCTTGTTAAGTTGGAGTCGAGACTCATTCGGTGGTGTCCAGAAAAGGATCAAGGATCTTAAGGAGGGAATCGTGAAGTTGAAAAAACAGGTTCTTACGGCTGATGTGAGTTCTAAAATCAGTATTATGTCTTGTGAACTGGAGGAATTACTAGACAAAGAGGAGATGATGTGGAGACAACGCGCTAAAGTCCATTGGATGAGAGACAAGGCGATAAAAATACAAAAAAAATTCATGCTAAAGCCTCTTCCAGACGAAAAAAGAACACCATTGTGGGTTTGTACGATGCTAATGGAACATGGTGTGAGGAAAAAACAGACCTTGAAAACATTGTTTCCGAGCATTTTCATTCCATATTTACGTCAAATAATCCGTCAATGGCTGCGATGGATGAGGTCTTGGGTGCTCTTGAGTCTCGGGTCAGCGATGAAGTGAATGGGGTTTTAGGAGAGGCGTATACAGTGGAAGAGGTTAAAAAAGCGCTTGATGGCATGCACCCCTTAGAATCGCCAGGCCCCGATGGTTTCCCTGTGGTTTTTTATCAGCGTTTTTGGAGCATTAATTGGCAGCGATGTTACAAATTGGGTCCTAAGGCTTCTAAATCATAAAGAATTACCCGAGGCAGGTAATTTCACGCATATTGTTCTTATCCTAAAGTGTGCTAGGCCGGAACCCAATTTCGCCCCATCAGCTTGAGTAACGTGGTTTACAAGATTGCCTCTAAAGCCATAGTGAACCGGTTGAAACCACATATGAATAATATTATTTCCGAGACTCAATCATCTTTTGTTCCGGATGATAATATTCTTATTGCATATGAGGTGGTTCATTATATGAAGAGGAGTAAAGCTGAACATATGGCCGTTAAATTGGATATGAGTAAAGCTTATGATAGAATCGAGTGGAATTTCCTTCGTCGAGTAATGCTCAGGCTTGGGTTCAAAAGCGAGTTTGTTGAGTTGGTTATGCTATGTGTCTCCACGGTCACTTATTCTTTTGTACTAAATGGAGTGTCTTTCGGCTTTCTTAAACCAGGGAGGGGATTACATCAAGGTGACCCAATTTCACCCTATCTCTTTCTATTTTGTACGGAGGCATTAAGTTCTTTGGTTAAAAGAGAAGAACATCGTGGAAATATTGCGGATTTGTTGGTTTGCGCTCGAGCTCCCCGGGTATCTCACTTACTTTTTGCCGATGACACTATGATTTTTGTAAGAGTTTATTGCATTTACTACCCCCGTGAAAATTGCAATTGCGCGACTCCCCCTGTCATAAAAAAATTAGCAAATACCCCCTAAGAAAAAATGTCAAAGCCATTTAGGTCGCTCAGAGCATATCGTGTCCGACATGCGCATCTCCAGTGATTTTTTATGAGAGTTTTGTTAATGAAATGACAAAAATAGCCTCACACAAATAAACATAAACTCAGTTGGGTTTGATTATGAATTATCTAATTTCTTATGGATCAATTTGTAATTTATAAAGTTCTTTTAAAAACCCTCTTATTTAGATCCAAAACTCAGATTTGCAAGTTCTGAAGGTGCAAGAAACAAGAAAATGGCGCTCCGGCAGTCAAGAAAGGGGCGGCAGCGGCGGTGGTGGAAGATATGAATCTATAATTATTTCTAACTCCAATTTATCTGCTGCTAGTACTAATTACAGAACTGGAAGATGGTTTTGGTCCATAAAAGTACTAAAGCAAATGGTGGGGGGTGGCGGCGACGGTTGGGAAGAAGACGAAGATGTTTTTTTTGGGTGGAGTCGCGGGGGTGGTTTGACGGGTAGAAGATGATGTCTCTTCTTTATTTTTCACTTTTTTTGTTCTTTTTTAATCTTTGTTTATATTTAATACAATGGAAATGAATAAAATTTCAAAACAAATATAGAAAACTCTAAATTACAATATATTTTTAACCAAATCAGTTAAACTATAGAAATTTTACGGAAATAAAATAAATAAGAAACCAAATTGTGTTTTCAAATAAAAAACTATTACAATAAAAAAAAATATATCTTTTAATTGCAGAAACACCCCCGAAGTATTTTGGTCTTTTCACAGCTGGTCAATGGGCTAAATATAAATGGGTCGAATGTGCATCCTAAAAATAAGCACAGGCGATATTTGCTAATTTTTTTATGATAGGGGGGAATCGCACAGTTACAAATTTCACAGGGGTAGTAAATGCAATAAACTCTTTTTTGTAATGCTAATGTTACTTCGGCTGAATGTCTTAAAAATGTTTTGCAAATATACGCCGAGGCCTCGGGCCAGAAGGTGAATTAGCAAGACGACTAGTACAAATAATATTTCTTTGATTCGCTCGATAATTCCCATGGAGGTGGTTGATAAACACGATAAATATTTAGGCCTCCCTTCCGCCTTAGGAAAATCAAAACGGGAAGGTTGGTCTTAAGAAAAGGTTGGTCTTACTTCAGCAAGTTGCTCCTCCTTGGCTCCTTTGATTTCATGGAAATGGTTATGGAACTTGAATCTTCCGAATAAAGTTAAGATCTTCCTTTGGCGATGCTGCAAGAACCTTCTACCCACTCGACAAAATCTTGTAAAAAGACAAGTCTTTGATGATACCCTATGCGAAATATGTGTTGTAGGTGAAGAATATGTCATTCACAGCCAGTGGCGGAGCCACCCTTTGGCAAGGGTGGGCTCCAGCCCACTCTCATTTTATAAAAATTTATACTATATATTATATCTATATATAATTAGCCCCCCAATAGTTTAATTTAGCCCACCCAAGTAATTTAGTTTAGCTTATCTATCAACAAATTTATGTTATATTAGTTGAAGTTTATAAATTGTAGTTATTTTATGTTAATGAATAAAAAAAAAATCGGGGGCGCTGCCCCCGAACCCCCGTCAATGTTAAGCCCACCCACCCAAGTAATTTAGTATAGCTTATATTAGTTTAAGTTTATAAATTTGTAGTTATTTTGTGCTATATTTTTATGTGAATGAATCAAAAAAAAAAAATCGGGGGCGCTGCCCCCGAACCCCCGTTAATGTTAAGCCCACCCTGTCTCGAATTCCTGGCTCCGCCACTGTTCACAGCCTATCTTTATGTACGTTTGCTAGACAAGTTTGGGCGCTTAGTGGAGTGGCGTGATCAATACATTGCCCGAATGATTTCTCTTTTGTCGACTGGATTATGAATATGAAGGATCAAATCAACAAATCCGATTTTGAATACTGTATAGTATTTGTTGGGCTATTATATGGCATGCAAGGAACAAGATGTTTTTTGAAGATGTTCATCGATCGGCTCTTGACGTTATCGTGTTGGCAAAGAAATTCCTTGCAGATGTGCATGGGTCTGCTGCAGAGGTGCTTCGCCAGAAGCTTGGTCCATCTGTGAGAACATTGAATTCCAGCTGGGAGGCCCCATCCAAGAGATGAAGTTAAAATTAATTTTGATGCTTTTCTAACTTCGGCTGACCATGGCTGCGGTTTGGGAAGTTTGGCGAGGTCGGCTGATTGAACTTGCCTGGGTTGGTTCTTTACTTGGAGCTCATCTCTCCTCGACTCTATTTCAGCCGAGGCAATGTCTGCTCTAAAGCCTTAGAATTTGCTCGTGGTCACCGGTAGACCTGACCACCGGTTCGGTTAGAACCGGAACTGGAACCGAAAAAACCGGTTCGGTTCCGGTTCCTCATTTTTGGAACCGGGAACCGACGGTTAGAACCGCGGTTCTAACCGTTTGAACCGGTTTTTCTAAAAAAAAAAAAAAAAAAAAATTAATTTCCTAGCTCTCTCTCTCTCTCTCTCTCTATATATATATATATATATATATATATATATATACTGAAATGCTAATTGTAGCGGGACTTTTACTGAAATTGGCTTATTTGCAGCGATACCTTTTCATTTCAACTTTTCAAACTTTTTGAAAAACTCAAAACGCTCTCAACTAAAAAAAGTCGAGAATTAAGATTTTCGACTTTATTTGATGAATCGACTGCCCGACGACAACATATAACACTATGGCCGATTCTGACGAGTTTTACGAGGTAAATCGAAGAAAGTATCGGATTTTTTTAGTTTTTCGTCGGGTTTACCGTGCTGTGTAGCACGGGAATCCCAAAAATTAGGGATTCCCGTGCTGTACAGCACGGGAGAATGAAAAAAAAAAAAAAATGAAACTATAGTACCCGTCTTAGGGAGCACGGGAATATCGTGCTCCCGTGCCTTTGAGGACGGAGGTTTGCGACTCCCGTGTCCTGGCGGACGGGTACAGTGGACCACCGTGCCCCCCGGCACGGGAACAGCAGACCACCGTGCCCGCCGGCACGGGAACCCGTAATAATTTTTTTTTTTTTTTTGTTATTTATATACTAATTATTACTTGTTATATCTTAATAGGGTACTGAAGGTGATTTTGACGATGACTTTACAACTAATCGTGACAAAGCGTACAACGAGTACGAGGATCCCAACATGTGTTTCGATGTTCCTCAAGACACACCAACAACTTCTGAGGATCACAGTCAACATTTCAATGTAGGTGTTGAGTTTGAAACTGGGAAAAAATTAGTGGAATGGGCAAAAAAAATGGCTGCTACTCATGGTCATCGATTGATAGTAACTTCAAGCAAGAAAAACGTGTATGTAGTATTTAGATGTCATTTGTCTGGGGAGGGACGTGAAAAACGAACCGTAGGTGCGATACCACAGAATGTGGGAACAAAAAAATGTGGATGTCCTTTTCATATATACTGTAGCAAAAATTCAAACGATGGACTATGGCGAATGAATTTAAAAAGTGGCACTCACACTCACCCGATACTATCGTATCCTACCGGACAAGGACCGGATAGTCGTTTGACACCAGAAGAATACGAGGTAGTGAAGTTACTTAGAAGGAGCCACGTGAAGCCGGCATTAATTATGGATCGATTGAGAAAGGATAATCCACAGACATCAACGAGTGTGAAACATGTCTACAACCAACTTGAGAAGATGAAAAAAGAGAATATGGCGGGGAAGACTGTGATACAACACGTGATGTCGAACCTTCAAGAATCTGGATATGAATATTGGTATCGAAGTAATGAAGCTGATGATACACTTACTGATTTGATGTTCGCTTCTCCTATTTCATTGAAACTTTTGCGGTTATTCTCTCACGTTATATTGATGGACTGCACTTACAAAACCAATAGGTATGTTGTTAATTAGTATTTATTATTGTGCTATTTTACATTGATTGATTGCATTTGATATTTATGTATTTACGTAGGCATGAGATGCCACTTTTGAAAATAATTGGAATCACTCCTGTTGGTAAGAATTTTACAATTGCTGTTGCTTTCATGTCACATGAAGATGGAAACACATACGAATGGGCTTTGCGTTGTTTGAAATGTGCATTGGGGGGGCTGGTACATAATGTGATATTGACGAATCGTGAATTGGGACTTATCAAAGCAATGCCTCTAATATTTCCAGAATCCGCTCATTTCTTGTGTTTGTTTCACATCAATAGAAACGTGGAAAAAAATGCATCGAGATTTATTGGTAGTACTAAACACGGGCTTATATTTCGGCGCATACAGTGGGCAAAATTAGTGGAATAAAAAACAGAAGAAGATTACAATGATAATTACGAGGAAATGGTTAGACGCTATGGTTGTTACCCCAAATTGATATCATACCTTAACGATACTTGGCTAATTTACAAGCACAAATTCGTCAAAGCATGGACTAATAAGATTTTGCATTTTGGGAACACGTCGACATCTAGGTATGTTGGGTTTCATTATCGTCTTGTATTTTATATTATATTGTGGGCGTTTTTATTTATTAGTTGTTATTTTAATGGCTATTAACAGGGTGGAAAGTGCTCATAAATCGTCGAAGGGTTGGATTAATGCTTCTACCGGTGGTGTGAACACCATTCAATATCAGCTCGACTCCGGGGTTGAGTATCAACTAACCAAGATCAAGGGTGAGTTTTCAAAATGCAGTTTAATCCGATTGCACTCATCATCGTATCCGGTATTTCAGGGTTTGATATGCAAAGTCACACATAAAGCATTAAATTTGCTTGATGATGAGCTCAAAAAACCGGGGTTTGAAGACCCATATCTTTGTGATCACGTTTTGTGGGATACTCATGCACTTCCTTGTGCATGCCGAATTGCGTTGAAAATCCAGCAACGTGATACATTTATATCTATGGATCTACATCCATTTTGGAGTACCATGCACGTTGAAGAACCAGAAATACCCGAAGCACAGATGGATCGTGAAACAAATATGAGAGACCGAATAATCAGACTAGCCACGGAAGTGTTAGAAAAAGATTATATGACTCAAAAGATGACTGCTGATTACATGAATAGCACTATTCATCCAGACACCATCCACTTGGCAGAGCTTGTATATGTTATACCGAAAGGAAGGCCAAAGGATAAACCGACGAAGAGAGATAAATCCGGTTGGGAGTTCCCAACATTCCAGCGGAAGCCGTCTACTGGTGAAGAAAAGGGTAAATCGTCTGCAGGTTCTAAGGGTCGAAAAAATACTTCTACCGGAACCCCACCATCGAAAGTAACCGATCCCGGGTCTGGTCGTGGACGGGGGCGGGGTCGAGGGAGTGGTAGATCAAGTGATGAATCCACTGCCAATCAGAATCGTACGCCAATGCCTCGAAAGAAACCGGGCGATGAGCTCAATTTCAGATCTTACATCCCAGGTTTTGTGGCAGGATCTATTGTGTCGTATGCTAATGTTATAGCAGATGGAAATTGTGGGTACAGATGTGTGGCAGAAGCAGTGTTCCGAGATCAGAACAGATGGAGTCGTGTAAGGAGAGATTTGATTGCCGATATGTACGAGCATTTTGGTACGTACGCATCGCAAAATGGTCAAGATGAAGTCATCCGATGGATAGAAAAATGCGATTGGCAAGAAGGACCGTGCAGTCGGGACAAATGGATGTCATTTCCGGATATGGGAATGTCGATAGCGACTAAATACAATGCGGCTTTGGTCTTATACGCCATTGGCGGAAATATAACCTACTTACCTCTAGTTGGTCCGGGTGAATTATCACATATGATCCATATGGTGTTGTTAGGAAACCATCTTGTCTACATTTTTTATGTAGAAGTACTCGAGTGAGTCTAGGCCAGATGCCTCCAGTAGCTCTAACTCATCCTGCCCGTAAGGAGCCATGAGTTGCTTCAACTCATGTTTCTTAAAAGCATTAAGCGCAGTAATCCTTGACTCACATTGCCCCACGCTGCGCTCCTGTAGAATTTCTAATTTAATTAGACAAAATATATTAAAATAAATATATTTAAAATATATAAAAATAAAAATATTTAAACTTACATGTCCTGCCCAAATGTAGTAGGCAATATGACTCTTGAAACTAGGAATCATCCTCCAATCAGTCGGTCCTCCTGGAGCCGGACCATGTAACTCAAGTGGGCCACTGGAAGTGTCAAACTCGTACCGAGACTTACGTGAGCGCGCGGCCGGGACGAGAACATCATCAAAATCGCTCTCAACATGGTCATGCTCCTCCTCGTGTCCCTCGTAGGGGATACGAGAATCTGCCCCTACAGATCGAATGCTACCCGCCATAGATCTAGAACTATGATCTATGTGGGGAATCTCGTCCACGACATATAAATCAGTGTCGCGCTCCATAACTCTCCTACGACGATGAGATGCAGTCATACGAATGCGCTCCGCTTCCGCCTCGGCTTCCGTCGCGCCTTGCCCGCCATACCGAAATTTAATCTTCGGAAATTTATCCGAACTCGAAGAAGAACCCATAAGCCCTTTCCCCTTGTCCTGACGTGCCATCTGTAAAAGATAAAAAAAAAATTAAATAAAATAATTAAAAAAAAAAATTAAAATAAGTTTGAAATTCCCGTTCTGTTGAACACGGGAACTTGAAGATTCTTCAAGTTCCCGTGTTCTGCAGAACGGGAAACTCAAATTTTTCAAGTTCCCGTTCCCCAGAACACGGGAAACTCAAAAATCTTCAAGTTCCCGTGTCCTTCAAGACGGGAAACTTAAATTTTTTTTTTTTTTTTTTTTTTTTTTTTATTTCGGAAAATTTAAATTTACAAAACAGTTTGCAACTCCCGTGTTGTAGAGAACGGATAGTTGAAGAAACCGTGCTCCAGAACACGGGTGCCGTAAAAAAAAAATTTTTTTTTCCCGAAATTTGCTAGATCTTTTCCTAAACACGTGTTTTTACCTAAATTGGAAATAAAAATAATTAAAAGTACTAGGAAATCGAAAACTTACCGGAATCGAGCCTCGTTTGTACGGTTTGAATGTCGAAAAATTTTACGAAATTCAAATTTCTAGAGAGTGTTTGGGAATAGGAGAGAGAAATTGAAAGTTGGAAAAATTAAAATGAAAAAGGTATCGCTGCAAATAAGGCAATTTCAGTAAAAGTCCCGCTGCAAATAGTAACACCCATATATATATATATATATATATATATATATATATATATATATATATATATATATATATATATATATCTCTCTCCTCTGTATATATATTATGTATATATATATGTGTGTATATATATATATATATATATATATATATATATATATATATGTATATGTGTATATATGTAAAAAAATTTATTAAGAACCGGTCTCTCTCTCTCTCTATATATATATATATATATATATATATATATATATATGAACCGAACCGCAAGGAACCGGATCTATATATATATATATGTTCCTCCAAAATCGGAACCGGAACCGGCGGTTCGGAACAAGAACCGGAACCGAACCGAACCGTGGTCAGGTCTAGTCACCGGTGGAATAGAGTAGTTTTGGAAGGCGATTGCACCACAATTTTTGCAGCTATTAACGGAGAGGAAGATTCTCGGACAATCTATGGTAATATTATCGATGATATGAAGCTTTCAGAGTTTGTCATGTCATCAGGGAAAGCAATCGAGCAGCTCACGAAATTGCTAGGTTATCTTCAATGGAGTCCTGTACTTTGAACGTTTTGCCGAGCTTTATTCAAGATATTGTAAGCTCTGAATCATTACATTAATGAAATCTACTAGTTTTCATCCAAAATACCCTCAATAATATAATTCTTATCCATTCCACCCATAATACTCTAACTTCCTTAGTTTTTTAATTATTTTATTTGTATAAAAAAGTTAATAAAACTAACAACACCAATTTGTAAATTTGTAAGTGTGAGGTAGCAAATGAATATTAAATCAGAAGATTCTTCTTGGTTATCAGCTACACAGCTGTAATGCTAATTGTTAAATCCCAAAAAAGTGGTACTTGTTTTTAAGAAAGATGCAAAATGTCAACCCCATAAATTTACTAGTATATTTCTTGCAAATGCCTTAGTACTTTTCGAGAAAATATATATTACATATAAATACATTAGAAAATAAAGAGAAATCAACAATTATTTAAATTTTAACAAAAATATGCAAATATAAATAAATTAAAAAGGAAAAGAAAAAGAAAAATTTTACCCAGCCGTTCGTTTTGATTTTTTTTTCTTTTTTTTTTTTTTTGATTTATTTATATTTGCATTTTTTTGTTAAAATTTAAATACTATTTAAATTGTTTTCTAATATATTTATATCTAATATATATTTTTTGCATTTGTTTGTTAAAATTAAAATATTATTCATTTTTTTTTCTAATGTATTTAAATTTTTAATATATATTTTTTTGCATTTTTGTTTGTGAAAATTAAATATTATTCAATTTTTTTTATGTATACTTAATATTATAAAAAAAATAATTATAATTAGTACTTAAATTTTTAATCAGATTTTAACCCCAAAACTATATTTAATTCAATTTTAGCCCCAAAATAGTGTTTTGATCTACGGTATAATTTTTATTTTTCTTTTTCAAGAGAAGAGCCAAAATGTCAAACTCCAAAAGTGATCCCAGATGAACTCCAAACCTTAGTAACTTTTTTTCTGCAAATCTTAACAAATTGAGCCTTATTAGTACGAAATGGGTTGTTATGCTGCTGTAGCTTCCCTTGAGCAGACACTGGAACGCATTTCCGAATCCGATGATTTTCTTCATGAAATGGATTCAGTTGTTGAAAGAATGGCGGAGATTCCCGGCAGCAAGAAAGTTGATGCGGCAGCTTATGAAAGACGATTCATAGATGCTGTCCAAATATTCCATGATCTTATCCTCTCCCACTTGTCGGATCCAGATCATCATGACATCGGTTTTGCTTTGTCTCTCTCCCAACAACTGCAAATAGTCCGAGAAGAAATTACTTCGTTTCTCACAGCAACCGACCAAATCTGCAGCATGATCAGGTATTCTAATTTTGCTTCTTCATATTATAATACCGACAATCAACAGCAGAATCTTCTTGTGGGATTGGATGACCAAATTACAGCACTAAAAAAATGGATTTTCGATCCTATTTCCCATGACTTAATTGCATCAGTTTTGGGCATGACCGGAATCGGCAAGACTAGCCTTGTTAAACAAGTTTACAACGATCCACTTGTTATAAAAGAGTTCGAAACTCGTTTATTTCTGCACATCGGCCCGGACTACACTCGATCGGAAGATATTATGCTGCGTGTTCTCGATGAACTTGGCGTCGTCATCCCTTCTGATAAACTAGACGACAAGGATTGTTTGCAGAAGCAATTGTCGGAGGCTTTATCTACTCAAAAGTATCTACTTGTCTTAGACGATGTATGGGCTGACGACTTTGATCTAATGCCTGAAAACAGAAAAGGAAGTCGGATCATCATCATATCTCAGATCCAAGGATTATATGACCACATTCATCCGGACAAGCGTATTATATTACCGTTTCTCAACAACGACGACAGTTGGAAACTACTTCATCAGACCGCATTTAGTAATAGAGAGGAGAAGTGCAGTCGTGAACTTGAGAAAATTGGAAAGAAGATTGCCAAAAACTGTGAAGGACTCCCTGCAGCAATTATACAGGTTGGAGAGAATCTACGTGGAAAATCTTTTGAAGAATGGAAAACATTATCAGAAAAAGAAGATCCACTCGTCATCACAAGATATGACAATACGCCACTCTCAAAGGCACTATTTTTTAGTTACATGATGTTGCATCCCTATCAAAAGCCATTCTTTCTGTATATGGGTGTGTTCCCAAAACATTATGGGATTTCTCGATCAAAGCTCATCAAATTATGGGTCTCAGAGGGCTTTCTGGAGACAGACCTGGGGATTGAAGAAATTGCTGGAGACGCCTTGGATGTACTTATTCTGCAAAGTGTTGTTTTGAGAGAAAAACACGCCTCTATAGATATGTATAAATGTAAGAACACTAGACTGCATTTCACCTTTCGAAGTTTATGTGTTAGTGAAGCTAAGAGTGAAAAGTTTTTTCATATCTTGAAAAAATACACCGATTGTACTCCAGAGAACATCAAAAGGCAGCAGCGTTTGTGCGTCCACAATAATGTTGTTCTTGCTTTCACACAAGTTCATGAATGGATGGAATTGGTTCCGAATGCACAATCTCTTCTTTGTTTCGGTCCAAAACAACAATATCCAGTATTGTTGCCCTTGTGTTTAAGATTGCTCAAGGTACTAGATGCACTTGCGCTCCGCTTCTACGAGTTCCCACATCAACTACTTGCGTTAGTTCACTTGACGCACCTTTCCATCACGTGTGACAGAGAGCTCCCCAACTCCATCTCCACACTTTCGAACCTTGAGGTATTGATTTTCACTCGCCATCATAACATCAAATTTTCGAATAATGGTCCAGTTTGTCTGCCTATAGATATCTGGAACGTGCATAAACTGAGGCAACTTTATTGCGAGGGCTTCGACCTCCCACCTCCTCCGGATAATTCTCATCTTGAGAATCTTTTAACAGTTTCGGGTGTGAGTGCTCACAGTTGTATCACAGAGGTGCTTTCAAGAATCCCCAATTTGAACAGAATAGCCGTTCAGATTGAGTCGGCACACGACTCAACCGAAACCTTCAATTTTTTCGGTCAGTTCGCCTCTGTCTATGAGGAATTTGAGTCATTCAAATGTGTCGTTGTAAATCCTAATCTGAGCTCTCAAATTATTCGTTCAGTTCCGAATTTTCCTATGAACATTAGGAAGATAAGCCTGAGTGGA